TGCTAAACTTTTTTTTCCTACTTTATATGACAGTGTTCAGTATTTTGACTATAACATCATCATTACTCAATGAAAATCGAAAAATTTGTTTTACCAAAATGATCAGCGAAAAAAGCTCTACAAAGTCTCATATGAGAGAAAACTTTCAGAGTACCCTTATTATTCGTTCATGAGTAAATACAAAAATGTACATGCTTTTTTGGCCGCGCACTGTACCAATTATAACATTGATCATAAACATTCCATAAGAATATTTTCCTATCGAATCCAGCCGATGCCATGATTTCACCATCAGGATGAAATTTACAAGAATATACTTCACCTTCATGTCCTTGTAATAGCATAAATTGGTGCTGCTAATTTTGATGTACATGAATGAGTTGAAACAATTTGTTGATTATTTTCACTGATACGAGCTTGTTTATATGGTGGTTGAGGGCCAATTGGTACAAGACTTCCACTTTCATTACGCCGTTTCAAACTCATTATTTACAGAAAAAAATGATAATGTATATAAGAAATCAAGTGAGTGAAAAAGAGAAAGACACAAAAAGGAAGTTAACGATTAAAATCTAGAGAATTAAATAATATTAGTAACTATATTCATATATCAATGGAAAACAAAAAACACACCCAGTAAACCTAAATATGACATTAAACACATTCTCTTTTCTATTTTATGTCTAGGTCAAAAAAAAAAGCAAAAGGAAAAAAACTGAACTTTGCTAACCTTCGTAGTTCGATGTAAATAAAAAAGCTCTGAATGAAGAGATATTCTATTTGATAATGTTGTATAATTATTGATTGAATAATCGTTCCTTATGATATTTGTTTTAAGAAATATGGTCAGTGGAAAGAGTCAAACGGAATTGTGTGATGAATGAAAATAAAGTGAGAAGCTATAAAGAGGACGACGATAACGTGTACAACTGCAGTTTAGTGACACCCCCCCCCCCTTTTTTTATACGTATATATGTATGACAGAACAGGAAAAAAAATCTATTGGTGTATCGTATGAACAACTCATAATAAAAAGAGAAAATATGAGAGATAGATGGCATAAGAGAACAAGAGAACTTTATTAAGAAAAAAAATACACATACCCATGTCACTCGGACACGCTACCGACACATGTGTCGACACAATGACACGATGAATATACATGTAACGACACGTGTTGACACATTGTATGTTTTGTACGTCATGTGTCGACACCTGTGTCGCTGGCGTGTCTTGGATGAATTAAAGTATAATATGGAAAAGAGAAGGAAAGAAAAAAAAATAACGGTTGTCTTTCGCGTATATATATACAATGTTTCCAACAGCAGGTGTACCCAGCATAAGCAAAATGGACAGAACATCTACTATTTTTGATTTACAGTCTGATTTACACTTTGCTTAAAAATACAAAATGTACGCTGTACACTCTGCTAAAAAATTTTACACTTTGATTCTACAATGTTAAAAGTTGTATGTAATATTAACATCAAAGAAAGACTTTCTTTGCAAAATAGTCGACTATGACCTTGCAATCTTGAGTAAAATTCTACCAATGACCTGTATGATTTCTTTTATTTCGTCTTCTTGCTTATTTTTGTAGATAAATAATTAGTTCTAATTCTAAAACGACTCTCTGCTTGTTATATTGTTATCGATGCTATTAACAATTTTTTTCAAACATATTTCAGATTTATCGTTTTCATACGTAAAAATGTTAAAAGAATAGAATCTTTATAGCTTCAATCTGACTTTAATTATTCGTATGAAGACGAAGGTGAAAATCAAGACAGCAGATGTTTTGGTGATATTGTGTTTAAAACAAATCCTAAATAAAAATTGTTATATTTGTGGTAAACTCATAGCTTTTTTCTTAATTTTTTCTTCGTAAATGGACTGTTAGATTCTGGAAAAGTGCGCTTGTTTTTCATTCATTTGTTTACCAACTATTAATTTATACTGATCATTGAAAACGTTGTCTTTTGTTTCTTATATGGAAAAAAACATTAGTTTTTGGTACACTTTGTACATCTTGGTATCAAAAACAAGCTGTAAACGTATACTTTGACTATATTACCAAAGTGTACACACTAAAATAAAATGTGTCGTATATATGTGTCGTACAAGAATGTGTCGCAGACTCCATTATAAAAATGTGTCGTACAAAAATGTGTCGCATTATAGATGTGTCGTAGCCTATATATCAATTGTTCAATCACCGTTTTGTTTCGCGAATGCAGCTGCATATAACCGAGTCTATTGGACGTACTTGACTTATACATTTTCGTATGTCTTTTTTTTCTACATTATTTCTCGACCATTCATTATTCGAGAACATGTCGAGAGGTCGCTAGATGATCGAGAATGGACTGCCTCGAAGTAGTCTGATCGAGATCAAATTGTCTCGAGACAGCTAGATCTTAAGATCTACTGTCTTGAACTCCAAGAATAGGTGCTACTATTTGAAATTAACTGAAAAAAGAGTAACTATTGGAATTTTCAAAAAGAAAATAATCCTCATGCCGAAAAATGGATTCGAACCACGTGCTAAAAATGTGTCGAATGTGTCGCACAAGAATGTGTCGTACGTCCGCTGAAGAAACGTGTCGCAACGAGCTCCTCGTGTCGCATATTAATGTGTCGTACATTGTGTCGCAAAGTACGACACATGCGACACATTTTATCTTAGTGTGTAGACGTACATTTTGTTTTCGATTTCCATTGGAAACACTGTATATATATATTAATTGATATTATATACTATTTAATTTTAAAATCGAAATATTGTTGTAGAATTATTTTATAAATCATAGCCATAATAAATATATATAGAATCAAGCTAGATATTTGCACAAAAAAGAGAACATTTGGGTTGAGCATTGCTGGAATCTTTTTTTACTCTTAAATCTTTTTTTATAGGCATAATCTAGGATGAAAAAAGTTGCAAATTTTCTACATCAAAGGGAGATAAAAATGAACTGCACAACAGTCAGCTATGTTCAAGTCATTGTCTCTGATTGAGATATGGGTCGTTTTATCAATAGTTCTACTGATTCAATTTGATATTCTGATATACTTTTGCCTATATTATGATGTTTGCTATATGTTTTAGATTGCTGCCCACAAATTGTGTTCGATAAATGTCGAAAAATCAGAAAGAAGCAGAAAAGGATTTGGAAGAAATTGATGCATATAGTAGGTTTTCTAATAAAAAAAATATGATATAGATTTAAATCAAACTTCAGTTGATGCTTGTGATATGCTCAAATGACTTGTATTGATCAAGTAGCTCCTCATATGATTTTTTTAGAACGATTGCATAATAAACATAGACAAAACAAACGAAGAGCGAAGTTGATGGAATTATGTTTAACTGATGATTTTTCGCCTACTGATTCATCTATTGTTCATACACTTGGTAAGTTATCTTATCAGACCGTAAAAATTTGCTATTATCATATATTACTCAATAGAGTGCGTAGCTTCCGATGAAGAAATTGATAATAATGATGAGGATAAAATTGATAATCCTTATATAAATAATAATAATCATGATGAACATGGTTTTGATAATGAAACTTATGATCATCCACATAATGTTATTACTGAAAGTGAGTTTTGTTTTCAATGTTAATGAGTGTCTTTTTAATTATGAATATTCCTAGGTATTTTATCATGCGATGAAGATGATTATGAAGAGATTTTGCGTTATCATCGTGGTGAAGCGGGTAAGACTCAGTTTTAATTGAAAAAAATTTCAAAATCTGAATATTGTAGGAGCTAAACATTTAATTAAAGATTTAAACTTATCTCTATGAAAATTTCTTTTATTCTATAGATCGAGCGAATGTTTCTATAGATAGTGATCCAATTTCTTATACCATGTCTGATGACGGTGAAGCTGAACCAACCATTGAATTGGAAATAACAAAGTACATCTGCGAAGCAAACTTAGATAAGTCAAAAACTAAAAATCTTCTTTTATTATTGCAACATCTGCATGATCATCAAATACCCCCACCACCATCAACCAAGAGTCTATGGAATAAATTGAACATTAAATTCGAATATTTAACAATCGGATATTGTACGCATTGTATGTTAGAATTAACTGAGCAATCATGCTCATGTAACAATCCAAACAAACGAACCCCTTCTGAATTGATAATATTTCCTGTCGAGAAGGAGATATCACACATTGTGAAAAATAACTATGATATAATTATAAAGCATAGAGAAAAAATATTTTCCGATCAAGCTGATATTCCAATGGGTAAATATCTTTCTGACAAAGTTCTCATATAGTTTTCCCGAATGCCCCTATCGGTCATTTCAAACAATAGATATACTCAGTTCATACCTTTTTTCAGAGAAATTATTGAAGGGAGAATTGCGATCAATTTAAGCAATAATTTTATCCTTTGTTTATTCATACAGGTCTAATATATCAGAATCAATCAGCACGAAGCTCAAATCCTATTACACTATTCTTATCTTGTGATGGAAAACCAACATTGAAGTCACGTAAATGCTCTATTTGGCCTGTAAGTAAATCATTCTATGCTCAATTTTTTTTTCAAATCTTTGATCAATAAATTCGTGAATTATAATTTTTGATGGTGCAAACTAAATGTCAGCTTTTTGTAGAATTTAATTTGTTCTTAATTAACTCTATATTGTTGTGTAAAAAATAGATATGAAAGGAATAAATTAATATGCATATCAGAGTGTTTTTTCGGATAATTCTGGGTGTGGGTGGGTGGGTGTGGGTGTGGGTGTGGGTGTGGGTGTGGGTGTGGGTGTGGGTGCGGGCGCGGGTGTGGGTGTGGGTGGGGGAGGG